TTGCCAGACAAGCCATTGCCAGAGAGAGGGGTTGCGCCCACAGCGTCAGCTCGTGGCCATCAGCTTCTCGCCTCGCCTGGCGCGGTCTTGATTTGTATGACATGCGGAGGCATCTCTACTGGAGGCACGTCATGTTTGCACGCCCCTTGTCCACCAAACCCTTACTCGGCTCGCGCGCGCAACCAGATCTCGCGCGCGAACAAGAGCAGGCACCCCACTGACAAACGTCGGGGCGAGGATATCCCCAGGGCGAGGCAGCTGGAGGTGGGAGACCCCGAGCTCCAATGGATCGGGCTCTAATCCTTCGAACCCGTTGCGCCGTCATGCACGATTACGTTGCAACTTCTCCGGTTAACGGAACTCGTTTGACTTTGTCTCATTTGCTTCGTAAGATTTACGAGGCTCCGCGATGATGTGCGTCCCCGACGTGTTGTGTGATCGTCACGCTTCGCGCGGCACATCATCCAGCGATCTCGCGCCGCCCCCGCCGCGAGCCCGTCCTGGGCGGGCGTTTTGGGGTCGGCGGCGTCTCAGGGCGCTGTGGGGTGTGTGTGTGTTTGCGTGTGAGGGGGGGCCTTTGTGGCCCGCCCATTCTGGCGCGGCCGTTTGCGCACTGCGCGACGGGCTGCTCCTACAACTACTTCTAGGACTACTACTACTACTACTACTACTACTACTACTACTACTACTACTACTACGACTACGACTACGACTACGACTACGACTACGACTACCACTACGACTACGACTACGACTACGACTACGACTACGACTACGACTACGACTACGACTACGACTACGACTACGACTACGACTACGACTACGATACGACTACTACACGACGTATACGACTACGACGACTACTACTACTACTACTACTACTACTACTACTACTACGACTACGACTACTACTATTACGACTACTACTACGACTACTACTACTACTACTACTACTACTACTACTACTACTACTACTACTACTACTACTACTACTACTACTACTACTACTACTACTACTACTACTACTACTACTACTACTACTACTACTACTACTACTACTACGACTACTACTACTACTACTACTACTACTACTACTACTACTACTACTACTACTACTACTACTACTACTACTACGACTACTACTACTACTACTACTACTACTACTACTACTACGAGTTAAACTGCGACTACCACTACTGCACCACACACACACACACACCGTGCAGCCGCACACAGTACACCCTCACATCCGAGGTGCCGGGACAAATTGTGCGTTATCCCCCCAGAACCCCGAACCTCGTTATCCCCGGGGGTTATTCCGGGGGCACATGGTTAAGCGAGCAAGAGGGCGCCCAAGGCGCGCGTGCCCTGGCCCGCCAGGATGGGCGCCGGGACATGCCCGTCGTACCTAGACGGGTCAGAATCCCAAGGGACAGCGTCGGGCGCCCTGGCGTCTGGGGCGGCGCTGCCTCATGCCGTCTTCAGAGAGACGATGCAAACAACGCGGTCGGAGCCGGGCGTCGGTCTTCGCCGCCATACCGGGGGCCCCTGCGCTGCTCCGCCCCCAAGCGAAATCCTGCCGCGCCTCATCGACGCCCGGTTGTAGCCGCCTCGCGCGGTCCACCATCGCGCGCGCAAGTGTCTTGTCTCGGCGGCCAGGTCGGCTGACCTGTGACTGGGTCCATCTGGGCGGCCAGGGCCACAAGAGTCCAGGTAGCGGCTCGCCGGGGCTGGGCATCCAGGCAGCGCGGGGCGTCTAGGTCCGGCAGTGCCAAGGCTGGATTGGGCGGCGGCGGGGCTGGGTCCACGCGCGGATCTCCTGGAGTGATGGCGGCAGGTGCATCGGCCAGGGCGTCGACCGCCAGTAGCCCCAGCACGAACTCCCCGAGGAGCTCTTCGCCCATCCACATGGGGACCTTGGCGACTCCAGCCCGGAGGCCGGGCTGGCGCCAGTCCCAGGCGGCGCGCGGCCCTCCCTCTGGCCCGATCGCCCAGGACACCAGGTGGGCCAGCATGAAGTGCTGGCAGGTGCCTGGCCAGCTCCGCGCGCCACGATCCAGGTGGCCGGCGCCCGGAAACTTCCAGCCAACCCACTGCGACAATAGGAATTGCCAGAGAAACGGCTCCAGAAGAGTCCATGGGGCCATGCCGCGGCCATCCAGGTGCCTGCTGCAGAAGCTGGCCCAGTGCAGGTTGATGATTGGGCCATAGCTGCACCCTACGTAACCAACCAGGTTGACCAGCGGTCCTGCCCCTAGTTCGAGCAGGTCCTTGGTCGGGATTTCTGGCATCGAGCGCGGAGGGCACACGACCGGCTGGGACCATCAGTTGGTGGGCGGTAGCATTAAGGGGCATGGCTGCGCTGCTGGCTGCCCTGCCGGCTGCAAATCTGGCCGCGGCGTTGGCTGCCCCGCAGCCGCTGGCCGCGCTGCTGGCTGGGGCGGCGGCGGGTGCCGGCGGGCAGGTTGCTCCGCGGATCTGCCCCGCCGCATCCGACCCACACGGTCGGCGCTCGGGCTGGTAGGGTTGAAGAGGGTTTTGCCCCCACGCCTGGGCGAACGCGGGGCACCGCCACGTCGCGGTAAGGCGCCCGGTGCCTCTCCTTCCACGCTGAATAATGCGCAACCTTGGCCCTCTGCCCTGGTCGGAAAGGGGGGCCCATCGTTGCTAACCACATGCCGGGTCAAGCTGACTCATGGTGTCCTTATAGCCGTTGTTGTGTTCTACATGAGACTCCGAATGTGTCGTCTCTGACCTTCGCTGCTTGCCGGGCCATGCGCCTGTCCAGGTCGTCGCTCATGCCCTGGATGCTACCGGCCGCTGGAGCTGCTTTAATTTCCAGGGCGTTGGCGCCGAGGCCATCTTCAGTCGGTGCCTCGTCGCGCGCCCGCGGCCCTTCCAGGGTAAACCAGCGTCACATCCCGGGCCAGGATTGCACGCAGCCCAGCGTCCCAAATTTTGACCAGGCAGTCTGCACAGTACCACTGGGCATTCCAAGTTTTATCCTCGAAGGCGCGAACCCAGCCAGGGTAGGCTGGGAGGCTGCACGCCATGTTCCAATACAGTGCTTCGCCCCCGTACCCCAGGTCTGGACGGCACGCAAACAGGCCCAGCAGGGGGGGCCCACGATTCCATCCCAAGGTGGGCTCCGCGGCTGGCACCCGTCGCACCTTCCCTTCGCGCCCCCTGTGCGACAAGCGCACGCCGACAGGGTCCTCCTCGGTGCGTTTCCAGGGGATGGTCGTGCCGACTGTCGCCGGGCTGTTGGGACGCGTCTGCGACAGTCGAAAGTGTGCAACCGTTCCAACATTGACAATGGATCACAAGTCATTTTCAAAATGCGACTGTCGCCTCAGATCGGCGAGATGCAAGGCTGCTCATAAAAAACGGAGCTATCGACTGACACTTCGTTAAATCGAGCGCCGGGAAAACTCAACGCACGTAACGCTGAACGGATCCATCAGACTCTTTATAAATATGGAGCTGTCGCTTGGGACTTCCTCTGAGCTTCGGAGGCGACGACCAGGGCGGAAAGCTCGGGGGAGAGCTATCCACTTTTGGGGCTTGACAAGAGTGGCCTTCCCTGTTGGCGCCTGAGTGAAAAAGGTGACGATTTGAAAGAGCTCGTGGCACTTGACTTGGAATGTCGCGGAAATGGCGAAGCGAATCGCGCGGTAGTCTCGGCCATAACTGGACGCGGTGGCGCGCGGTGTCAGCCCGGCCCGCAGGTAGACGCCCGTAGGTGTTGAGACGCGCACAATGGCGAGCAGCTTGAGGATTGCGGATTCGAGAAGCCGAAGCTACGGGCGGCGGAGCCCTGTGGCATCCTACTTCTTATACAACGCAAGCCGCAAGGCGGCGCTCCTGTGACTGCGGAGCGCGTCACTCGCGAGCGGCGTTTTTCGCACTTTCCCCCAGAGCGCCAGCTGGATACGTGTAACCAAAACTGAAGACATGTAACCACACCTGAATACATATGACCAAAACTGAATACATGTAATCGCAACACAAAAAAAACAAGATGCAGTTCACGGGAAATCGATGCATGTAACCGAAACTGAATACATGTATTCGCTGTTCCGGCGCCCGCGGCGCCCGTGCGACGACGGCGCCCCGCCCCGCCCAGCGGCCCAGTTGGGCGAGGTGCCCCGCGACCACGGGGCGAACGCCACTCTTCCAGCATAGCTGCAAAGAGAGGATGCCTCACTTTCGCACGCTCCGCAGCCGCGGTCTTTCCAGGCCGCACTACCCGCAGCGCACGCCACTGGGTTCCCCACAACGAGCGCCCAAATCTCCGCGCCACACATCCAAACAAGTCGCAGCGGGCGTCAACTATGATATCGAAAGCGCCCCGCGCGCCGCCGCATTGGGTCGAGAGCGACGAGGCCGTTATACTCGATGTGATATATCCGCGCAATCCAATGCTTGCGCCGAATGCTCCTGTACATCCTCACCCGTTCCGTTCCGGCGCACAGAAAATGGTGCAATTGCCAAACCCCGACAAATGTAACGCTCTTCCCTGGGATATCCGCCCTTCTCGTCGCCTCCGAAAGCAAATGGCAACAGGCAAGGGTAGGACGGAGCGGTCCTTCTTCGAAAGAGGCAAAACGCTGGACACATCGTTGAACTGTATGGTCACTGTGCGCCCAAAAGATGCACGTCCAGTACCTGATTACGCGCCAAACACATGCAAGTCAATTCGTTTTCAGAATGGGCCCCCTCGCCAAAATGGCAGGTCCAACAGTGCTAGGGGCGTACGCATGAGGAGGGGACCTGAGACGGGAATGTGTACTGCAGCCTCGCTTGTGTATCCTTTGGTTTACTCTGGTCCTCCTCCTCCTCCTCCTCCTCCTCCTCCTCCTCCTCCTCCTCTTCGGCTCCTCATCCTCCTCCTCCTCCTCCTCCTCCTCCTCCTCCTCCTCCTCCTCCTCCTCCTCGATCTTCTTCAAGACGGGCAATCAGCGCCGGCGCGCCGGCCCGCGCGGGCGCACAAAAGGAGCTCCGTATCGTCCGCCGAGTGGGCGTACGGGTGCATCGTTGCGCGGTCCGCCTCCGTGGTGGACCTCTGCGTCCGAGTCGAGGGCCCCTCGGTGCGGGGGGAGCTCGGACGGAGACTCCTGGGCGTGCTTCGCCCTTTCTGGGAACGTCCCGGGGGCTTCTCGTCGCCACGGCTGGAGTCCCTCGAGAGTCTCGTCGAGAGACTCCCCTGGACCCTCAGACCCAGACCCCCTCGCGCCGTGCAACAACATGGCGAAGTGCAGATTTTGGCCGCTTCCGGCTTCCCGGGGCCCTCACCGAGCCCTGGGGCCATCCCGGGAACAGGCACGTCGCGGGAGACCACGTCGTGGAGAAGGGCACGAGGGTGGGTGGTGGGTGCACGGGGAGACTGGGGCTCGGCCTACACCAGGGAAGGGGGGGCATGGCAGGGCAAGCGCCCATGCCGCTCCTCGCGCGAGCAGCCCCGGGAGCGCTTTCTCAGGGACAGCGGCGGCGGGGCCAGGGTCCCACAGTGAGGGTTTCTGGTCGGTCCAGCGGCGCGGGAGCAGAGCCAGGGGCACAGACCCCGAGAGACGCGCAACGGAAACAGCCTGCAAAGGGGCCTGTCGACAGTCTCGGCGTCCAGAGGCCGTTTCAGGGCCCACAACCCATCAAACAGGGTGCGCGGGCTGATGACGTCCCGAAAAAAGATCGGGACGTCAGGAATCCTGGCGAAGGTAATGTTTCGCAAGTTGGGAGGCTATCCGAAATGTTCGCCGCCACGGCTGGACGATGTTCGCAAAGCCCGCCAGGATGCAATCCGGAAAGGGCCAGGGACAGATTCTGAAATCACGTGCTGAAATCATGTTCCCCAGGGGTGGCGCAAATCTGAGCTTTGCCAAGCATTAACAAAAAAGTGGTCGCCCCGCTTCGGACACACATGCAATTACGGATGGATCCAGCTCAAGAAATGCTGCAAGAAGGTTGGGGGTAGGCAGTTTCAATGACTTTACATCGCCCCGAATGAGCAAACGTCCCTGGCGAACGTCTTCTTATTCGGCGTTTGGGTATAGGGCGGATGGGGGGGGTCTGGCTCCGGACCTCTACTGAATCCGACTGTTTGCAGTGCGTCCTTTGGGGGAGACTCCACCTGCTCGAAACAGGCGCCCCAAAAAGCCAAGATCTGTTCCATGGGGGGGAAGGGAGTGCGAGATATACGCTACGGCGCCCGATGGCCCGTAGTGCAACATGGAGGGTTGGTGTCGTTTGTTTTGTAGCCGATGAAAAGCATGCGCGGCGCTCAGGCCCCAAGCGGCAAGGCACTGCTGCAGTAAGTAGCGCGTCCCCTTTGTCGCTGCGCTCCTCAGTAGTACAGATAAGCTTGGGCGTACCTATACGACCACCCTTCGGGTGACAAGGAGGTCGGGGGGGGAAGAACCAGCTGCTGGCGAATGTGGTGGGCGTGATGATGACGATGCTGTTGACGCGCCCTCGAGTTAGTAACGACGCGTGATGACGATGTTGCGCTGGGATGTACATGTCCATGTCGCCTCAGCCTTCTATCTCACAAGCACTGTCACAATCAGCCTAACTGTCGATCTCATTGTTGATCTCACTATCAATCCCATTCTAGCGATCAAATTATCGTTCTCACTATCGATGTCACTATCGGTACCACGAAGAGACCCCCCTGGCCACCGCCCGCCAACCGCCGACGGAACACCGACTGGACACCAACGGGACACCAACGGGACACCACATGACACCACGGCGAGACACCCAGGGCCACCGCGCGCCCACAGGGGGCGGAGGAGCGGTCCTCTGCATCAGTATCGCTCTAGCGGCGGCGGGGTCATTCCTCTCGCGCGCCCGCGCAGCTTCGCCTCGTCCGCACGTACGACACGAACACGAAACAGAAACCGATTTCCCGGTGGGGAGCCTGTTCGGTCAACCTCGATCTCACCCCCCAACCTCCGATATCTCTCTCTCTATATATATATGTACATATATCAAATATTATATTTATATATATCTATAAACATACATACACATACATACATACATCTGCGGATCTGGCGTATGAATTTCTGAGAGCGTGGACTTGAGCTCGCTCAAGCTTCGCTCTGCAAGGGGGGGGGCGCCATTCCCGATGCAATTATTGCTCGGGGGCGGGAGGGCCCAGAGGCCCCCAAGAAGCCCCCAGGAGGCTCTGGAAGGGGGGGGGGGGGGGGGCGCCATTCCCGACGCATTTGATGCTCGGGGGCGGGGGGGCCCAGAGGCCCCAAAGAAGCCCCCAGGAGGCCCCAGAAGGCCCCCAAGAGGCACGAAAAAGCCCCCAAGAGGCCCCAAAACGACCCCCAAGAGGCTTCTCCAGGTCCCTTGCTCAATCCCCTGAGCCTCAGTCATCAAGCCTGAGGATTCGCAATGGGCCTGGACCCCAAGCGCTCAAGTCTCTCGAGGCTCCCCGCGCGCCATCTGAGGTTCCCAGACTGTTCCCGCATGTTTTCGTTCGAGCCCAAGAGAAGCCAAAGACGGGCCAACAGGGCCCTAAGAGGCCCTCAAGACGGCTCAAGGAAGCCCCGAATCACCGAACGATCGGTCCAAGACGCCCGAGATAGCCCCATGGCCATTACCATGATAAACATCAGCATAATCATCAGCATCACCATCATCGGCATTATCAACAAAATTATCATCATCACCACCATCATCACCACCATCATCATCATCATCATCATCATCATCATCATCATCATCATCATCAGCATCATCATCATCCCTCACAAGGATCGCGCCCAACAGGGAGCTCCACCGACGGCTCCAAAAGGAAGGATCGCATTTCGGCACACCCCTGACGCGGATCGCACCCCTTGGGGATCTCCATCTACGGCATCCATGGGCACTTTGAAATGGCGTCCCCACGCCCGTTTCGGCGCCAATATACGCCACAAGGAGCCACCTACGG